CTAAAATAAAAAATGGGAGTTAGAAAGAGTAAAAGCAGAGGAGAACGAGCTGGTCCAAGGGTGCATCATTGAATTGCTCTGCAGGCAACTGGGGCTCAATCTCACCAGGGGGCTTGCTAAGGAGCTTTGTAGGATGCGCTGTCAGATGGACCTTCTGAGACAAAGAAAGAAGAAGCATTTGTCCTCCAATTGCCGCCCTGATGGGCAAACATTGCTCTATGGGTCTCTAATTCCCTCACGCATGCGTTAGAAATGCTGAGTGGGTTCCTTTGGGATCCTCCTGGATGGAAGCAAAGAAGCCCTAGAGCAGAAAGCAAAGAATACGCTATGTTTCCAAGTGAATCCCATTACACCTGGTCATTGAAGCAGGAGATGGAGTGAAAAAGTGGACGTGAGGGGCTGCCGTGGCACTTCGATCGCCATGCCAAAGCCAGTCAAGCAATCACTTTCTTGCTCTTCTACTCACTCCTTCCCTAAACCCCATCCCTGGGGAGATGAAGGAGGGAACAACTAGCAAAGTTAGAGAAACCAACGCTGGCCCTTCCCCAGTTGAGGCTTCCCTCTTGAGCTAGCAGAAGGCAAAATCCTCAACTGTAATCAATACATGGGAACAGTTAGTTTAATTCCTCCATTGAAGACATTGTTTTATGATAAAGTGAAAAGAGCCTAGAACAATCCTGAGGCCTGCCTGAGTTTTCTTCTAGGGTCATGGGGATGAACAAGCCCCCAGTGTGGACTTCAAAGAGGTTGGATGGTGTAAGCTGGATAAAGCTGCTTCATGATTACCTCCTCCAAGCTTGTTCATCCTAATAGGAGACATTAGAAATATACAGAATGCACCTGATGGAACAAGAAGACAGTGATAGCGGGGGAAGGGGAATGTGTTATTAGGTGAATTCCTTTTACAACACAAAAATGGAAGCCAGAACTCATGTCCATTTCACATTTCTTTGCTTTTTCAGATGGTGTTCATTCCGCCTGAAATATCCTGCTCCACCATCCGACACAACTCCCCTTATCATTTGCTCCCTCCTGAGACTGGGAGGGTTTTGCTGTTATCATTATATAGTATTATCATATATATAGTCTGCCTTACACTAGAAATATTTATGGAGTTGTTTTAATACAGCAAAAATGACACACATTAAAAGGCATGGAAAAGGAAAGACAAAAAAAAATTTTTTAAACAACTGCAGGAAATTACAACAGAATACAGCGCCAGACCGTGTCTCTTGTTCTACACATACCTTAAATTACTGACAGGTGCTATGGGTACGGTTTTGGCTCTAAATTCACCAGCAGCTGATACAAAAAAGGGAACCTGATCCAGTCTCAGTCAGCATCCATAAGGCAAAATCACACGACTTCTCAGGAAAAGCAGAGCTAGTTCTGATTCTGAAGTCAGGTGGACGATTGCCTCCAGGGTTCTCCTAAAGAGACACGCAATGTACATAAATTGAACAACATGCTCCACTGTATCTTTTCTGTTTATCTTATTTATTTATTTTTCTTTTACTTTCTTTTTTTTTTAGACAGGATCTTGCTCTCTTGCTCAGACTGGAGTGCAGTGGTGCGATCATGGCTCACTGCAACCTCCGCCTCCTGAGTTCAAGTGATTCTCGTGCCTAAGCCTCTCAGGTAGCTGGGATTACAGGCATGCGTCACCACGCCTGGCTAATTTTGGTATTTTTAGTAGAGACAGACTGCTGGCCTCAAGTGATCCACCTGCCTCAGCCTCCCAAAGCGTTGGTATTCCAGGCGTGAGCCACCTGGCCCAGCTAACATCTTTTCCACAGGCACTTCTTATAATGTCCCTCAACCTGTAACACAGACATGACAAACAGGAGAGAATCACCAAGACCAGGTTGACTACAGACACCTTCGGGCCACCATGTGTTACGGCTTTAAATCCCCTTCATTGCACTCACCATTTCTCATTGCAATCATTTCTGCATGCATCCTTCTCCCTTTTATTTTTTTATTATTTATTTAAATTTTGAGATAGGGTCTCACTCTGTTGCCAAGGCTGGAGTGCAGTGGTGCAATCACGGCTCACTGCAATCCCAGGCTTAAATCATCCTCGCACCTCAGCCTCCTGAGTATCCGGCAACATAAGTGTGTGTCACAATGCCCACTAATTTTTTTAAATTATTTTTTATAGACACAGTGTCTTGAGGGCTAAAAACCAGTTCTCATTTCTGTCTGTGCCACCACGGCCAAACATGTGGCTTGGTATGTATATTGCAACATGCTTTCTGCATAAATGAGAGAATTACAGATTAATGCTTTTAATTAATGTGAGGCAACATAGAGAGAAGGAGACAAATGATTAGATGACATTGAGCCTGAAGCTCTTGAGAAACGAAAATCATGCACAAGTGAGATCAGCCAGCCTCTATGCTGCAAGAAGCAAGGTAGGGTGGAATACTGTTAGCTTCCAGTCAACTTCTGAGTGAAAGATTCGAAATGTGTAGTACAGAGATCACAGTTTACAAAATGTCTCAAAATTTGTCATCAACACCCATGTTAGTTACTTATTTCTCTTAGCTATAGCCTCAAAATGGTGAACAAGACACAGGCTTTATTTCCAAAGAACATACTCTTTGAATCCCTTTGTTTTTCTTTTTTGAGACAAAGTCTGGCTTTGTTGCCCAGGCTGGAGTGCAGTGGCACAATCTCGGCTCACTGCAACCTCCACCTCCTGGGTTCAAGTGATTCTTCTGCCTCATCCTCCCGAGTAGCTGGGATTACACGTGTGCACCACCATGTCCAGCTAATTTTTTGTATTTTTAGTAGAGATGGGGTTTCACCAAGTTGGCCAGGCTGGTCTTGAACTCCTGACCTGAAGTGATCCACCCGCTTTGGCCTCCCAAAGTGCTAAAGTTACAGGCGTGAGCCACCTCACCCAGCCTTGAATCTTTTTTTTTTTTTCTAGAAACATCTTTTGTTTGGATAACAGGTCCCAAAACAGGTCAGTTAATAAAATAGATTCTAAAGAATATGGCCCTATGCACAGCCCTCCCTCCCAAAAAATAACCCTGGGGGTAGACATTGCCCTTCCCCCTTGGGCTTTTTGAGTATATATATATATATATATATATATATATATATATATATATATATTTAGCTTAAGTAATAAAAATTTATTGAGAATTCCTGGGTTGGTGGTTATCTCCTCCCAGCCTTGAGGGAAGGAACAACACTGTAGGAAATCACTGAGAAATCACACACTGTCCCAACATCCCCAGCCGACACAGGGAGGAGGAAAGTAATTTCCCAGAAAAGGGGCTGGTCTTCAGTCTTCCTTAATCCAAGAGGGGTTTGGGGGACGGGTGCGGGGGACCATCGCATGATGCTGGGGCAGGGTAGGGCTGTGCTGGACCCCAGGCTGGCTCCTCAAAAACAGGAGAAGCAGATCCACTTCCTCTGGGGATGGAGTTCTCGGTGACTAGGCTCATTTCTTACCCTTGATGAGGCTGTCACTTCCTTGGGTGAAACTTTCATCCTGTAGATTCAGCACAAGGTTGTCAGCAGTGAGATAGATGTGATTCTGTGATGTGGCGATGGTCTTGGAGATATTCTGGGCTGCCCGGATCTTGCAAAGTTTGATGTAGCCAGGGTTCTTGCTCAGAGCTTCTCCAAGCATCTTGGCAGCCTCGGCCTCACCCTCGGCCTGCACGATCTTCTGCCGCTGTTCCTGCTTCACTTTTCTACCAAGAACTGGGCCCGCTGGGCCTCCTGCTGGGCGACTTGTTTGGCTTCTACAGCAGCTGTGTACTCTCGGCTAAAGCTCAGCTCTGTGATGGCTACATCATCCAGGATGAGGCTGAAATCCTTGGCCCTCTCTGTCAGCTCCCGGCGGATCAGCAGGGATACCTGGGCACGCTGGGCGATCAGCTGTGAGGCATTGAACTTGGCCACCACACTCTTGAGCACCTCGTTGACAATGGACGGCAACACTCATTCCTCCTAGTCTAGCCCTAGGCGCTGGTACATGCTAGGAAGCTCCTGAGCATTGGGTCGAGACAGCACACGCAGGGAGATATTCACCATCTGCAGGTCTTTGGAGCCTGTGGGAGAGGAGATTTTTCGAGGTCTAGCCCGAATGTCATGGATAATGGGGTACTGGAACCAGGGGATCCTGAAGTGAAGGCCCTCGGCCAGGATAGTGTCCTGCTGCACTCCACCGATCCGATTGAAGAAGATGGCTCTGTGCCCGCCTTCCACGGTGAACACGGATTCGCGGACACCATAGGCCACAGCGCCAGGCCCCAGCAGCAGCTTCAGCACAGTGCCCATGCCCCGCTGCCCGGCAGGCAGCCGTCCCGCCAAGTCCTTCAAGTTCTGGGCCATGTCTAATCTTGAGGCTGGCGGCACCAGAAGTGAGAATGGGGTGCCAGCCCACCTCTACCCGACTCCAGCTTAGGTACTGCCTCGAGTATATTTTTTAAAATGTTTTGGCAGCTCTGTGTTTATCATCTGGGCATGGGGCACCATGTCCATGTCCCATATTCCTAGGGTACAGCAGCAGTAGGTGGCTGCAGCTTTCCAACCTTCCCCCTACCCCAGCGCAGCAAATATTTCTGCCCCACCCCACGATCTGGGACCAAACTAAAGAACAAGCAGGCTCCCTTCACTGAGGTGCTGGGCAGGGCTCAGTGCCACGTTACTGCGCTTTGAGAAGGAGGGAGGGGATGTTTGGCACTTTAAAAATAGAGGAGTTAGCAAGACTGGAGAGGTCAGAGAAGATACCAAAATTGGCAGGGAGAGACCATTTGGCGCTAGTCCCCTGGGAGACGGGAAGAGGGAGACAGATATGAGGGTAGGAGCTAAGAAAAGTAGGAGAATTCTACTCCAAAGGCAGGGTGCTGAAAAGGGCTAGGACCAACAGGACACTGACTCTAGCTTTATGACCTCTCCATACCCCTGTCCCACAGCAGCTGGTGCCCACCTCCAGCCTCCCGTGTCAGCCTGTCCTAATGTATAGTGTCCAACCTCTGATTCTAGCAATCAAGTGTCTTCCCCAATCCTATGTCCCCTGATCCAGTCTCCACCTACTTGACCATCTCTTGTTCCTTGGGACTGGGGCCAGCCTCTTGTCTGCCCACTTCCCACTCATTAGTCAGATAGCCCCAAAGGCTCTATCTTTAGCTCCCAGAGAACTTTTTGGTCCTCAGTACTTCCCTTCCCCATTCCTTCCTATTCCCCACACACTGGGGGAGGGAAGGGAGAACAGGGTTACATGATCATCAATCTCCCCTGCCCCTCTCTTGAAGCCCCCTAGATTAGGATGAAGAGCAGGCCAGCGAGCAGGGCAAAGCCTGCTAGGAGCAGAATGACCTTGAGGATCCTTTGCTCAGAACGGGCCAGCTCCTGGGGCAGGATTTCCAGGAAGGTAATATAGAGAAAGGTGCCAGCCGCCATGCCCTCTAGCACAGACTGGGCCAGCTGGTGCGGAGGTCCTGCCCACTCTGCCAGAGCTGCACCCAGCCGGATGCCTAGAGGTGTCATGCATGAGAAGAGGATCCCACAGCCAGCCACCACCTGTGCCCCCAGGTGGCTTTGCAGCAGCCGGAGGGACAGACTGACAGCCAGGATCCCCTTGTGGAGCAGCAAAGCCAGGCACAGCTCCGTGGCCCAAGCCCGACCTCGCTGCAGCCCTACTGCCGGCCCCTCGAATACAGAGTGGAGGGGCAGGGAGAAGGCCAGGACACAGGCTCGCAAGGCTGAGAGGGTTGCTGGGGCTCCACTCGCCTGTGGAACCCCTGGTCCATCATGCCAATGCTGCAGCCCACCATTCACTGTTCCCAGCAGAGCCCTTGTTTCCTCCAGAGGTGGTGGCCCTGACTGCTGCTTATAAGCCAATGTGATCTACTCCATCACCAGGACGAGGGAGAAGCCCATGGCCAGGATGAACTCTTGCAGCGAGAACTGGAGCGTCACGTGCAAGGCTGCCAGGGCCTCACCTATAGCAGCCAGGTAGTCAGGCAGCAGGTCCAGGAGATAGGTGGCCAAAAAGACGCCCCCGGCAAAACAGCTTACTAGGCTCGGGGCTTTCTGGCGGGAAGCTGAGGCTTTGTGGTTAGCTCTTGGCCGGCATAGCACAGATGGGCACCAGGCTGCAGAGAAAGGTGAGAACCAGCAGCAGCACCAGGGCCCCCAACTTCACCTCCAGCCTCACAGGCACTGGAGACTCTGAAGCTACTGCCTCTGGGCGCCACACCAGGAGTTCGGGCTCTCCCAGGGCCCCATGGTGCTTCTCCAGTTCCAGTGACTCTCAGGCCTCTCGAGGGTCTCATGACATGATCTCCGCGCACTTCCCGCCTAGAGTTGGGGCGAATCTTTTTTTAAAAAATATTTTTAACAAGGTCATCAACCAGGGTTCTCCTAACCCCAGCCTTTGCAGAAAAGTGATTGATTGTCATTGAATCTTTTTAAAGTTGAGTGAGGTTTCTTCAAATCATAATGTTTTGTTTTGTTTTGTTTTTAAATAAAAAAGGTCCAGAGTGGTGGCTTACTCCTGCAATCACAGCACTTTGGGAGGCCTCAAGTTTGAAACCAGCCAGGGCAACATAGTGAGACCTTGTGTCTACAAAATTTAAAAATTAGCCAGGCATGATGGCACATGCTAATTTTTTTCTTAGGAGGCTGAGGTTGGAGGATTGCTTGAGCCCCATAAGTCAAGGCTATAGTGAGCTGTGATTGCACCACTGCACTCCAGCCTGGGCAACAGAGTGAGATCCTATCTCAAAAAACTAAAAAAGAACCCTATCTACTACACTGCTAAGTCAAAACTCACACCAAGACTTATCATGCTGCTCCTCCAACCAAAGAGACCCGTCTAAGTGAAATTCAGAGATGGCTGAAACTCTAAGATGATTTCTTAGAAGAAAAGGGGCCAGGCAGGGTGGCTCATGCCTGTAATCCCAGCACTTTGGGAGGCCGAGGTGGGCTGATCCTCTGAGGTTAGGAGTTCGATGCCAGCCTGGCCACACATGGAGAAACTCCATCCCTACTAAAAATACAAAAATTAGCTGGGGATGGTGGCGTGTGCCTGTAGTCCCAGCTACTCGGGAGGTCAAGGCTGGAGAATTGCTTGAACCCAGGAGGGGAATGTTGAAGTGAACCAAGACTATGCCACTGCACTCCAGCCTGGGTGACAGAGAGAGACTCCATCTCAAGCACACACACACACACACAAAAGTGCACTGTTTGGTCAAGAGTTGAATTCATGTTAATGAAGCAGCTCCCAACACAGCTCTCTAGTCGCATTTTCAGACGTAGATTTTTCGGGTGCAGGGGGAGTCCGTATTTCCCTGTAGTTCTATGGGATAAGCCTTCCATAACTCTCTTGGTTTATGTTTGAAGGATTCCTGAGATGTGGAATAAAAGAACTAGCAAAAAGCTGTAATGATTGCTCATATTTGCTTTTAATTAGAGAAAAAAACAAATCCCTTGCTCTCCTCCCTCAATCAGGATTCTTTTCCACGATGGGTCCATGTTTTTTCTTTCCTTGCCTTGAGTACAAAGGCGGTGTGCATTTTTCAGAGGGAAAGATGGCAAACATGCCCATCTCAACACAAATATGTTTTATTAAGTACATCTGCTATGCAGAACCCCCTCCAGAAATCTAAATGTGCATTTTAAAAAGGCCGGACTGTTTTAAAATGTTCTCAGAACCAAAGCAACACACCCCTTTCAGAACACTGGAGAAAAGGCGGTCAGACAAGGTCTCATGGCTCAACAGTGGATATCTGAACAACATAGCTGACTATTAACATAATTTGAGAAGAGAGACTCCCTCTTAACCCTTGTTTTTGGTTCTCTCAAAAAAAAGTGCTCCTGTCAGCCTTAAATTTCTCTGCCTGGGTCTCTAGTCTGAGGACAGCATCCCTTTGGAAGACTTCGGCAATTTCTGTGGAGCCATGCTTAAATTGAACGAGTGGAAAACTAACTCCCTTTAATAAAAGTGGCATTGTTTTGCAGTCAGGTAATTCCAAGTGGGCTCGCGTGTTACTTTCCATGGGAATAGTCTTTGAGGAAGAAAGGGCCTTTGTTGAGTTTTGTTTTGTTTTAAGAACAGTCAATTGGTTCTTTCTACCCTTCCTTCTGGGGCACCAATCTTTCCAAGGATAACCACACAGTGCAAGCAGAAATAATGAAAAGGAAAAAAAGAAAGAAAATCTGCATGCAAACCCAGGTTGTCATTATCTGGGGTTGTTTGCAGCTGTTCTTGTCCTCTTATTCCTACCTGGTACACAGATCACTCCTGCCCATTCCTCTCTATCTTGTACACACCTTGCTCGTACATATGGAGGGTCATGGAGGAAAAGCATTACTGTAAATTTCCTCCTTCTCAAGGAATCCTACTCCCTGAGTTTCTGCTTAAGTGACTTCTCACCTTCAAACTCACTGAGGTTATTCTTGTTTGGCTTCAGATAAGTGGCTGAGATTTTAATTGTTCTCAATTGGTCTGTTTATCAGGGTAACTGTTTCAGTTTTCTTCAAGACAAATGATTAGGTCCTTCGGTCTTTATCAGTATATTAAGTATTTTCTTCAGGTGTGGACTTAACTTTGCCCTCCACTCCCAGGAGCCGTTTCCTTTCATAACTTGGGTGTAGTTTAAATGCACAGACACACACACACACACACACACACACACACACACTTGCTCAGAGTTATTTTGGAAAGTGTATTCTTTACCAGTGACACCAAACCAACCTCAAAACAGTCCAGAATTTGTGTACAATGGCTGAGTTCTCTATATTTTCTCATTTCATTCTTAGGACAACTTGGAGAGATAAAAAGCAGCATTTCCTCCTTTTACCAGATGAAGAAATTGAAGTGGAGAAAGATAAGAAGCTTGCTGAAAAGCAATGAATGGTAGAATTCTCCATAAGCCAAATGATTTTTAACTTTTTACCGACGAAGTAACTATGGTTCAGAGACGTAAAGCAATTTGCTCAAGGTTAACCAGCAAATCAGTAGAACAGCTGTGATTCAAGCCAGGTATGTTGCTCCAAAGTAATTTCCAGGCAGAACCTGAAAGGCAGGAGTTGGAAGGTGAACGCATATAGACTGTCCGATGATCTTGTCTTCGTTTAAATGCATCTCAGCCAGCAGCCATCCAAGGAATCTACTGGGGGAGAAGTGAAGAATTTTATTACTCAGGATAGGCTAAACTCTGCTGCAGTAATAAATAAAGCCTGAAATTTCCGTGGCTTATAAGACAAAGGAGAAGAAATAAAGAAAAAACATTTAATTCTTTTTTTTTTAAGATGAATTTTTTTATTGCATTTTAGGTTTTGAGGTACTTGCGAAGAACATGCAAGATTGTTGCGTAGGTACACACGTGGCAGTGTGAGTTGCTGCCTTCCTCCCCATCACCTGTATCTGGCATTTCTCCCCATGCTGTCTCTCACCAGCTCCCCACTCCCCAAAAACATTTGATTCTTATTCACACAAGTCTGCTGCTGGTCAAGCAACTCTATAGTGCAGCTTTCTTTGGTGACTCCGGTTTGCAGACTTCTTTCATTCTGCAGTTCCATCAGCTTAATAGAACAATTCTATGGTCACCCAAAGAAGAAAAGAAAAAAAGAGGAGGCATAATGCTCTTCATAACCCAGGCTGTGAAGTAACAGACATCATTGCCATTCGCAGTCCATGGCCAGAACGAATCACTGGCGCCAGCCTTCCCACAAGGGAAGCCAGGAGACACAGGAAGCCCCCTTGGCAGTTGGTGAGTGCTAAGTACAACTGTGCAACACCCCCAACTTTCCTTGGCCTCGTTTTTTTTTTGGGGGGTGGACAGAGTCTTACTCTGTCACCCAGGCTGGAGTGCAGTGACATGATCTCAGCTCACTGCAACCTCTGCCTCGAAGGTTCAAGCTATTCTCATGGCTCAGCCTCCTAAATAGATGAGACTACAGGTGTACACCACCATGCCCAGCTAGTTTTTGTATTTTTAGTAGAGACAGCATTTCACCACATTAGCCAGGCTGTTCTCGAACTTCTGGCCTCAAGTGATCCACCCACCTCGGCGTCCCAAAGTGCTGGGATTATAGGCGTGAGCCATCAAACCCAGCCTCCTCAGTCTCATTCTTGAGTTTTTAATATCTTTGTAAAAAAATGAATACTACTGAAACTTAGTATAGGCTTTTTGGGAGGAGCAACAGGTTAAAGCAATTGCAAAATGCTTCAACCAAGTAGTAGCATCTGAAATTTGAGTCATGATGGGGATCTTTAGAAGCTCTGAATATTCTTGAAAAATCCAGAGGTCACTGCTGCAGCCCTCATACGATGGTTTAAAAAAAAAATGCAGGAGGCCGGGCGCAGTGGCTCCGGCCTGTAATCCCAGCACTTTGGGAGGACGAGGCGGGTGGATCACGAGGCCAAGAAATCGAGACCATCCTGGCCAACATGGTGAAACCCCATCTCTACTAAAAATACCAAAAAAAATAGCCAGGCATGGTGACACGTGTCTGTGGTCCCAGCTACTGGGGAGGTTGAGGCGCAAGAATCACTTGAACCTAGGAGGCAGAGGTTGCAGTGAGCTGAGATTTCGCCACTGCACTCCAGCCTGGCGACAGAGCCAGACTCCGTCTCAAAAAAAAAAGAAAATACAGGAGACCCTCCCACTTCCACATTTAAGAAAAACTGATAACACCCACCTTTTCAACTGGTTTATGATGGGTTATCTTCAGAACAAAAGAAATACTCTAATTTCAGTGGCTTTCAAATAAACAGTGTTTAACACATAGGCCTTTTGATTCCCACAGGAGGAACCATCACATAAGCTTATATTGTTAAGTGAAATCTGCCCAGGGTGGAATCTCATTAGTAAGCCATTGGACTTGAGCTTAGACAGAGATGATCAGTGAGCTGGATCCAAGGTAACAGAGGAATTCAGATTCCTCAAGTGCAGGCCTCAGCTGTATTCATGTACCTGTACCACGCCAGGCTCTGATTAGGTCAAAGAGTATGAGTCAATGAATTTCGTTTTTTGCAAGTGACAGAAACCCAACTCCCACTGGCTTCAAGCAAAATAGGGAATGTTTTGGCTCATGTAACCAACCACTACCATATAGAGAAAGCCTGACTAAGAACGAAGCCAGCCCAGAGGAAAGCAGGGCCAAGAGGAACAGAGTTTTTATGCATTGACCAAAGCCCTTGATCTAACCGTACCTGAAGGAAACATACAGTTGGGCAAGCAATAAATTTAAGGTTTTCAAAATGTGTTGTATAATATTTTGTTTGCTTAGATTTATTAGATACTAGTTTCTATTGTATGCAACTGAAAAACCCTAGCCAATAAATATGCTGAAGTATTCAGGCTTGGTTTATAGCCCATGGGGACCACAGAAGGTTAGGATTTTGAAGAAGTAAAGGATGCAGTGAAGTCCTATTAAAAAAAAAAAAAAAA